AAAAAAATATATATATGTATATAAAAAGTACAACTCAAACAAGAGAGATAACCATAGTATTTTAATATACACATACAAACAGAGTTATAACATAGATAACTGATTTGAGTTCCACTAGAGATTTACAAACATTGTCAAACCAAAAGGTAAAAGAAGAGAGAACACAAAAACAAACTACTAGTCCAAATTTTCAAGTGAACCACGACTCTAAAACTTCATCATGATTGTCTTCGGGATAACCTTCCCCGTCGTAAGCTGCTTCTTCACCTGGCATGACACGCCATGAGCGTGGAATACCCAGTAAAAACACACCCCCCCCATATCTTCTATCAATCAAGCAACCATACACAAAACAATTCAGGTAACATAACATACTTATAATAAGGTTTTATGAATTAGTAGTTAGACTAGGCATCTAGAACCCCCCCAAAGAGATCCTTCTACCCAGCCACAAGGATTGAACACCGGACTATTCAGAACTCCCCCTTTTGCTGCTTTGCAGACCTTACCACCTATGCCCACCTTCCGATTATTTACCTGTCAGTGGCATTGATGGACCTCAAAAGGGACGGCCAGCAAATGGGCTCGCTTACACCCAAATCGTGCCTCGGGCTCGCTTACACCCTGCACCTACCATACCAAATCGTGCCTAGGGCTTGCTTACACCCTGCACATACCATACCAAATGTAACAACCCTCGTACTGTTTACTGATTTATGACCGATTGATTACCGTTATCGGATTACTGGCCGGTTACGGTGCTAAACCCATAGGGCCGGGTTTGGGTCGTGACACCAAAGGACTCGCTTACACCCTAAAACCACCACATAGAGTCTGAATACATCCGGGTCAACCTAGGGGCTCGCTTAAACTGCTTACGCAAGACTTACCTCATTTGGTATTAATCCCATCATAATTCATGTCATGCATATATATAAAATTGTTCTAAAACACTAAGATGAACGTCACCCATTGCCAACCCCTTATCATTTCCCGTCTATTAGATCTTTTGCTAAGTAAGTTAGTCACATTCGGTAATTCAATCATATATCTTTTGCTAAGTAAGTTAGTCACATTCGGTAATTAGGTCATATAAAAGAGTATGAGAAAGAAATACGAGAGGAAATATAGTCCATGATCATCATACATAAGTATAGTAAGGCAAGAAAACAATATTAGAAATGCTTTGAAACATTTAAAGACAAACAACATAATAGAACACAATTTCCAGCACTGTTCGATTTTGCAGGGCTAATAAGAATGTTTTGGTAAAAATACTTCTAGGTCAAATTAGGGGCTGAAATTGCACAGAAATAGTATTCAATCTGTCTAGTTTCAGTTCCAACTTTCAGAAGTTGCACAGCCCCTCCGAAAGTTCATCTACAAACTATATTCGAAAACCTGTCCAGATTTGTCACCTTTGGGAAAACTAGCTTTTCTCTCAATCTACCTAACGGTTTTCACTCAAATAAAATCTATTGGAAAGAGGACTCAGAGTTCTAAATTTTTACAGAAGAATCAACATGAGATGATTTTTCTAGAATTTTGTAAAATTGCTTAAAGTGGACTGTTTTTCAGAGACTCAGGACCAGATTTTTCAAAAAATTATCCAAGCCCTAAAAACACACAATTAGGAGCTAATAAAATTGTCACAAGCTCTAAACACATAAAATATCCTACAATAAATTCAGATTTGAGAATTAGATAGATTTGATATTTCTTTTAAATTAGAGAAGTTGCAGCAGTGCCTAATTTCACAAATTTGCAAGACAATGACACTATATCATACCCATACTTTCACACACACCAAAAACCCTATTTACCATTAATTTGTAACACAAGAGACATACTAGAAAATAGAATGAGTTGATGAAAGGATTGGAGAAATTAAGGGAGAGATATGTTCTTACCTTCAAGAATTCCTTCTTTTTCTCTTCTTTTTTTTCTTCTTCTTACTTCTCCACTTCCCTTGAGCCAACTCTCCCTCTCTCACCCTCTTCCTTGGGCTGTTGAAAAACGTGGGAGTGGATTTGGACAAACTCTCAATTTATAGAGTATAAGGTAGCTTAATGGCTAAGGGAACTAAATATCTAGATATTTGTTTTTTTTATTTATTTATTTTTTGTTTGTTGTTACCCAACCAACTCTTCCACCAACATATTATATATAGATATATACACTTAAACTATGTATATATTCAAATACACAATTGTATTCTATTCAAATAAATAATAAATGAAAGAACAATAAAAACAAAAAAAATAGAAATAAAAATAAAATGTGTGAATTAATTTAAAAATTATGAGGTAAAATAAATAAAACCAAGTTTTAGGATAGTTCTAATCATAAAGTGGTGTTTTATGATTTAATTATGGTAACACACGGAGAAATTATTCTTTACTTGGGCCCTTACGCAGACTTTTACGGAATTAGAGCTAAAATGCTACTAACCTAAGGCTTAGGGTTTCAAGTGTAATTACAAAAAATTAGGGTTTCTACAACCTATCCCCCTTGAATAAATTTCGTCCTCGAAATTAGATCATACCTCACGTCTCAAATAGTTGTGGATAATTTGCCCGCATCGCGTCTTTACGTTCCCAGGTGAACTTTTCAATACCATGGTGACGCTAGAGTATCTTAAGAAGGTGAATTGTCTTCCCTCGCAAGTTCTTTTCTTGTCTATCCATAATTGCTACTGGTCCCTCCTCAAAGGTAGCGTCTTCATTGAGGTGGATTTCTTCCCAGTTGATGATGTGAGAAGGGTGCATTATATACTTCTGCAGCATAGATGCATGGAAAACATCATGTACTCCAGCCAACTGTGGGGGTAAAGCCAACTTGTACGCAACCTCTCCGATTTTTTGAAGTATCTCAAAGGGTCCAATATATCGAGGTGATAATTTTCCTTTCTTTCCAAAACGAATGATCCCTCGGCGGGGCTGAATTTTCAGGAAAACATAATCACCGACAGCCAAGGTTAGTGGTCTTCTTCTTTTATCTGCATAACTCTTTTGACGATCTTGAGCTGCTACTAATCTTTGTCGAATAAGTTTCACCTTTTCTGTAGTTTCTTGCACAATCTCTGGGCCCAATAGACTCACTTCTCCAACTTCAGTCCAACAAACTAGTGATCTGCAAGGCCGACCGTACAGTGCTTCAAATGGAGCCATGCCAATGCTAGCTTGGAAACTGTTGTTGTATGTGAACTCCACCAGCGGTAGGTGTCGCTCCCAACTCCCTTTAAAATCCATCACACAAGCTTTCACACATGTCCTCAAAAGTCTGAATGGTACGTTCCGACTTTCCGTCAGTTTGAGGATGAAATGCAGTACTGAAACATAATTCGGTCCCTAACATTTCCTGTAAGCTTCCCCAGAATCGGGAGTTGAAACGTGGGTCTCGGTCGGACACAATTGATACAAGAATTCCGTGTAATCGGACAATTTCTTTAATGTAGAGATGACTCAGCGATGTCAAAGTGTCGAAGATTTTATATGGCAAAAAATGCACAGTTTTTGTCAAACGATCAACTATAACCCATATAGCATCATGTCCTCTAGGTGACCTGGGTAGTCCAGTGACGAAGTCCATTGTTACATGCTCCCATTTCCATTCTGATATCGGCGAGGGCTGAAGCATCCCTCCAGGTCGCTGGTGTTCTGCTTTTGCTGACACATAAGGCATCTGGCTACGAATTGAGCCACATTTTTCTTTATTCCGCTCCACCAATATTGGTGTTTTAAGTCTTGGTACATTTTCGTCCCTCCTGGGTGCACTGCGAACACCGAATGGTGGAACTCCTTCAGAACTTTTTCTCTAAGCGACTCATCTTGTGGTACAAACACTCTACCCTGATGTCTCAAACTTCCATTTGAATGAATCGTCCAATCAAGTATAGGATCGCCGGATGCTATTCGCGCTTTTATGAACGCCACCTCTTGATCATACTTCTGTGACTCCATTACCTCGTTTAGTAATTTGGGTGTAGCGATTTGAATGCCAAGGTGTACCTTCTCGTCCTGAGCTTTCATTTGTACTCCAAACTCATTAAGTGTTCTGACCATGTTCCATTCCTTGAGTGCCAAGCTAGCAATAATTCCCCGGTTCTTGCGACTCAGGGCACCTGCCACCACGTTAGCTTTGCCAGGATGATAGGATAGAGTAAAATGGTAATCTTCGAGGTATTCTAGCCACCGTCTTTGTCTCATGTTCAAGTTCTTCTGCGTGAACAAATACTTCAAGCTCTTATGGTTCGTGAAAATCTCAAATTGTTCACCATACAAATAATGACGCCACTGCTTTAACGCAAAAACCATTGCTGCCAACTCTAGATCGTGTGTCGGATAATTCTTTTCATGCAGTTTCAGTTGCCTGGAGCCGTAAGCCACTACCTTCCCTTTTTGCATTAGCACACAGCCTAGCCCATCCTTGGACGCGTCGCAATATACCGTATATCCTATGTCTCGCTCCGGAATGATGAGTATTGGGGTACTAGTCAATCTCCTCTTGAGTTCTTGAAAGGATTGTTCACATATTTCGTTCCAATCGTATTTTACCCCTTTTTGTGTTAGACGAGTCATCGGCTTAGCTAGTTTAGAAAAGTCTTAAATAAACCGTCGGTAATAGCCGGCCAACCCTAAGAAACTACGAACTTCGAATACTGAGGTTGGCTGCTTCCAATCTAATACTGCTTCTACCTTGGCTGGATCTACAACGATTCCATGCTCCGATACGACGTGTCCTAAAAATGTGACTTCCTTCAACTAGAACTCACATTTACTTGCTTTTGCGTGGTTGTCTCTTAAAACCTAGAGAACTACTCTCAAGTGTTGCTCGTGTTCTTCTTCTGACGGTGAATAGACTAGAATATCATCGATAAACACCACCACGAACTGGTCCAAGTATGGAGTAAAAATCTTATTCATCAAGCTCATAAACACGACTGGTGCATTAGTTAATCCAAAGGGTATTACCACAAATTCGTAGTGGCCATATCGTGTTCAGAAAGCAGTCTTTGGTATGTCATCATTAGCGACCCGCAATTGATGATAGCCAGACCTAAGATCCATCTTTGAACAACACATTGAACCTTGAAGCTGGTCAAAAAGGTCATCAGTCCGTGGAAGTGGATATCGGTTCTTGACCGTCACCCGGTTGAGTTGCCGATAATCTATGCACAGTCTTAGTGTTCCGTCATTTTTCTTTGTAAATAGAACTGGTGTGCCCCACGGTGAGGTACTTGGTCGGATAAATCCCTTTTCCAGTAAGTCTTGCAGTTGCGTCTTTAATTCCTGAAGTTCAGCAAGAGCCATACGGTGGGGCGTCAGGGATATTGGTGCAGTACCCGCTTGTAACTCAATACTAAAATCTACTTCACAATGTGGCGGTAATCCTGGCAATTCCTCAGGAAAAACGTCAACGTATTCACAAACTACACGCGGAAGATTTGATTCCGATTGGGTTTCTTCATTAATGATCAAACTTGCTAACCATCCAGTAAATTGTCGATGCCACTGCATTTTACGATTTGTCATGCTCAGGGAATCCTCTCTTTCTCCCTTAAATTGGAAACACGTTCCACTAGGTGTGCAAACCGTCACCCTCTTGTGGTAGCAATCAATCACTACTTGATGGGCGGATAACCAATCCATTCCCAAGATTATGCCAAAATCGGACATGTTCATGACCCGAAGGTCACAACTCAAGTGTAACCCTGACACTTCTAATTCACACCCTCGACAGATTAATCCTATCCTAGTACTTCCTCCCAAGGGTGATGTAACACGTAAAGTAGTTTCTAAAGGTTCACATTTAAGACCTAATGATTTAACACATGATGTTGATATAAAAGAATGTGATGCGCCAGAATCGAATAGAACGTGAACCCAAGAATTATAAAGTACAATGTTACCTCTAATTACTGATGGATCTTCATTATCTTCCTCTTGGAGAGTAAAAACTCTACCTGTGGCTTTTTGATTACTGGTCGGTCCAACCTTTCGGTTTCCTCCTGACTTGTTCGTCCATGGCCTTTGCTCGCCAATAGCTTGAGCATTTGCGCCTGAACCCCCTGCTTGATTTCCCATCCCAGAAAGCTGGGGACATTCCGACTTCTTGTGCCCTATCTGATGACAATGAAAGCATTGGATTTGTGTAATATGCTTGGTTTGTAAACTCCCTTTCTGGCTTTACTGTTGCGGTTGTTGCGACGGTCTGGTGTATGGTGTCCGTACCATATTCCTTCAGTCATTTCTTCTTGGTCCTACAAAGGACTGACCCCATTTCTTCGTTTTCATCATCCAAATCCTTTGTGAGTCTGCCTACTGTCTTTCTGCATCCAATGCCGTATCCACCACATCAGCAAATGTAGAGAGGCGCAAGGGTAACACTTTACCTCTGATAATAAGGTCTAAACCCCACTCGAATTTTCGTGCTTTCTCTCCCTCATCTGCGACGTATAGGGCTGCGTATCGAGCCAGCTCTTCAAACTTGGCCACATACTGAGTCACTGACATCTCACCCTATTTCAAAGTTTGAAATTGCCAAATTCGCTCTTTTCTAACTATGTTTGGGAAATATTTTCTTAGAAACAATTCTTTGAACTGAGCCGAAGTCATGTTTGTTGTGTCTCGAGAGTTTTTCATCAAGGACCACCAATGATCCGCTTCTCCTTCTAGCTGATAACTTGCCAGGGCAATCTTGTCTGTATACACAGTAATACCCATGGTTTCCAACATCTTTTCTATTTGACGAATCCAACTCTCAGCGACTCTCGGGTCAGGCTCACCTGTGAACACCGGCGGTCTTTGCTTTCTAAATTCAGACAACAAATATATCCACTCATTTGGTTGCGTTCTTCTAAGCTTTCCTAACTCTTCAAGAATCTGGTTTCCGACTAGTCTTGGTAACTCCTCAACAGGTATAGGTCTACCGCGATTAACGCCTTGATTGCGAGCTGGACGTCCTCGTCGGCGTCTGACTTGATCGTTTGCTTCCACATTGTCCACCATCTGCCAAGTTTGTGGGTAATATAAGCTTAGGGTTATTGTGGAGGCGAAACGGTGTTCAATAAATAGGCTAATTTAATGTGGTCTGAGGTGTAATTAATTACAATTTAACCTACTCTAAAGCCCCAACTTTAATACAGATCCAATAATGCAAATCAAGAACATGAAAAACTCAGTAATACATCCAGATCCAATAATCTCTCACTGAGCACCATCATAAAAGCTCAAAGTTATTTTTATTTTTTATTTTTTAAATCCCACATGCAGATCTACACAATTGAATAAAACAAAACCAAATCAGATTCATAAAAATAAAAAAATAAAATAAAAACAAGAACAAGAAATGTACCTGAGCAGCAACAATACCACTGATATGAGCCATATCACAAAGCAACAAATTAATAAAAACACACAAGCATACAAATTAATAAAAACAACAAGAAGTTCACATGAAACAATGAGTCAAGAACATATGAACTTGGCCAATGCTAACCATCTATTCATTAGTCCAGATTTCTGAACAAAGAGCCAAGTTTATTGGGTTGAAACAGATATTATCCAAATTGAATTACATTCTAACAAAAATACACAAACTGGGATGCAATAAAGGTAATCAATACTCGTATCATTAATCTCTAAATGTAAAGAGAGTATAAAATCAAATCCTATCAATTAAACACTAAATAAGTCTTAGAATTAGCAATAATATATAATTAAAAAAAAGAGTAAATTTTAAATAGAATTTATACAATGAATAAAAGTAGGTATAACATTATTATAAAAGGATATGAAAAAATAATAATAATAAACTAAATAAAGAACCCAATTGACCTTGTTTCATACAGATCTTTCGAAAAGAAGTGGCTTAGAACTTACATTTCATTCTGCTGTTGAAGCTTCCAAAATATAATAGAATTATATATTCTAAAATTTGAAAATACTTCAAAACCTTGACCTTTAACTGCAAAATATATAACAAAAGCAACAGGGAATCAGAGAACTAAAGAAATGAAATTTAGAAGATCCAAATGACAGTCTTAAGAATTCATTCAAGCAAACAATATCTAAGTAACAAAAGAACAAAAAGAAGAACCAACAAAACCCAGATCCAAACTACACAATTTAACCTACTCTAAAGCCCCAACTTTAATACAGATCCAATAATGCAAATCAAGAACATGAAAAACTCAGTAATACATCCAGATCCAATAATCTCTCACTGAGCACCATCATAAAAGCTCAAAGTTATTTTTATTTTTTATTTTTTAAATCCCACATGCAGATCTACACAATTGAATAAAACAAAACCAAATCAGATTCATAAAAATAAAAAAATAAAATAAAAACAAGAACAAGAAATGTACCTGAGCAGCAACAATACCACTGATATGAGCCATATCACAAAGCAACAAATTAATAAAAACACACAAGCATACAAATGAACAAAAATAGTCACCGATCCGAGAGAGAGTGAGAGAGAGATGAGAGATGAGAACACCGAGAGAGAGAGAGAGAGAGAGAGAGAGAGAGAGAGAGAGAGAGAGGCGAGCAGTAGCACACCGATCTGAACTGAGATGGATGAGAGTGTGAGAGTCTGAGAGAGAACTCAGTCTGAGATGGGAAAGAGAAGAGAAAGAGACACCATCGATATAGAGACCTGAGATGAGAGTGAGAGGCATGGAATGAGAATGAGTGAGGCCGCTGGATTAGGTTTAGGTCACATTTTAGTTTTTATATCATATAAGAAATTATATGGTGTGGGGAGGCATATAGTATAAAAATATAGGTTATTTCTAGATGGTCCGGATCGGTTCCAATCCGGAACCGATCCGTGGTCTACGGATTTTGAAATTTTCAATCCGGAACCGAACCACGGATTCAAAAAACCAACCCAAACCTATCGGATTGGACTGGACCGGATCGGATTACGGATTTTACGGATTCCTTGCTCAGCCTTGAATAACCAACTAGATATTTTATATATACGTATATAACTTCTTCTTACAAAAGGTTACACTATCTAGGTTAGTGTGCAGCGTGTATACACCAAAACAAAACACGCTTCAACCACACAAAACACTATTTACAAAGGTACACAAAAAGGTTCGTCCCATGACTACTTCTTACCTTCAAGAATTCCTTCTTTTTCTCTTTTTTCTTCTCCTTACTTCTCTACTTCCCTTGAGCCAACTCTCCATCTCTCACCCTCTTCCTTAGGCTGTTGAAAAACGTGGGAGTGGATTTGGACAAACTCTCAATTTATAGAGTATAAGGTAGCTTAATGGCTAAGGGAACTAAATATCTAGATATTTATTTTTTTTATTTTTTTTATTTTTTGTTTGTTGTTATCCAACCAACTCTTCCACCAACATATTATATATAGATATATACACTTAAACTATGTATATATTCAAATACACAATAGTATTCTATTCAAATAAATAATAAATGAAAGAACAATAAAAACAAAAAAAAAAAAGAAATAAAAATAAAATGTGTGAATTCATTTAGAAATTATGAGGTAAAATAAATAAAACCAAGTTTTAGGATAGTTCTAATCGTAAAGTGGTGTTTTATGATTTAATTATGGTAACACACGGAGAAATTATTCTTTACTTGGGCCCTTACGCAGACTTTTGCGGAACTAGGGCTAAAATGCTACTAACCTAAGGCTCAGGGTTTCAAGTGTAATTACAAAAAATTAGGGTCTCTACATGATTTCACACGCTATATAAATAAAATCATAGAATAGTACTGTATGCATTAATTGGTATATCAATTAGTGTACTAATAGATGATATGATTTTGAATATTTATAATTGGTAATGAGTGTTGCTATTAGCACCTTTCTTTCTTCTTTGGAACCCCATTTCTTTTATTTTTTTTAATTTCAATTTTGTCCAAAAATGAAGTTACATTTTTACCCTCACCCCTAACATTCCAACCCTAATTTTCCAAACCCAAACCCTAACCCCCTAATCCCAACACGACAAAAAATTAAGGTTTTAGAGACCAAAATTTAGGGACAAAATTATTTTTTAGGGACCAAACATTTTTGTTGTAAAAAGTGTCGTTATTATATTTTTAGTAACGAAAATTAGACATTAGTGATGAATTATTATCTTTTTAGGACCAAATTTTTTGTTTTAAAAAATAAACCATTTTAAGATCAAATTATTGTCCAAAAAGTTTATTTATTAATGATATTTTTAAATTTTTGTCGCTAAAAGCCTTTATTTTTAACTTTTCGGGACGACCTTTTAGCAATCATCCTCATGACGATAGAAATTGGTCCTTAAATGTATTTTGCAACAAAATTTTCACTTTTAGAAACCAAATTTTGTCTCTAAAACTCTTATATATTGTAGTGTAACCACCACCTCTGGCAGCTCGCTCACCGGAGCCCTCACTGTCGGTAGTTCTACCATTGCCGCTGCCTTTCTCTTTTTTCTTCCATTTTCCTTCTTGTTTACCCCACTGCCTCATCTTCTTTTCATCTTCTTCTTCTCTTCGCCACCTAGATCGCCGCTGCCTTTTCTAAAGACCCTAGGGCTAGGGTTAGGGTTTTGAGAAAAGGCGATGAAGAGAAAGAAGATGGTTAGGGACTGAGATCGAAGTTGGACACCACTGCGAACACCCTCCCAGCAATTTTCCCTCTCGATTTCGTTTCACTCTCTGCAACTCTCTCTCGCTCTCTAGCCATGGATCCTGCTCGTTTTCTTCATCGGCAGTGATGGCACAGAAGACATAGGAGTTGGAGAACAACATCGTAGGACTATGGCGTCAGCGAAGTCTGTCGCCATTTTCTACTGTGAATAGTTTGTTTGTTTGTGTTTTTTTTATTTTTTATTTTTTTATTTTTTCTAGGAGTTGGAATTGGACGTTTCATTTCCAAATTTGAGGCTCGAATTCACTGCTTCCAGATGTAGAAAGGTTGTTGGAGATGGAAAGAGAGGTCGTTGACATCAATGGTAGTGGTGGTCATCGGTGGAGATGGTGGTGAAAAAGGGTTTGAGAAATTAGGGTTAGAATGTTAGAGGGGTAAGGGTAAAAATGTAACTTCATATTCGGACAAAATTAAAATTAAAAAAAATAAAAGAAGTAAGGGGTCCAAAGAAGAAAAGAAAATACTAATAACAGTAGTCTTTATAATTGATATATCCATTAGTATATGTAACACTATTGAAAATCATATAGTACTTTAAAATTACAGATTACATAGTCATTGATGATGCATCGATAAAAGAGCTTACATACCTAGGATTATCATGCATTAATTGCCCCTTTTGTCCATTTATTAATAAAATAAAATAGAAAATCATCCAGTGCTTTAAAATTACGGATTAAAGTCAAGTTTGACAATTCAAAAATAATTTATCTTTTTTTTTATTTATTACATCACCTTTTTATTTTTTTACATATTTTTCATAAAAAAATAAAAAATACATTTATTTAGGTTATCCCAAAAAACCCCTAAATACTCACGGATAATGCATTGATAAAAGAGCTTACATACCTACGATTACCATGCATTAATTGTCCCTGTCCATTTATTAATAAAATAAAATAGAATAAAAAAATGGAACCAACAATTCAAGTAAGAGGAGATTTGACCCAAAAAAATAAAAATAAAAATAAAAAATTGGCAGATTATTGGTCAAATCTTTCTTGTGAACTTTATTTATTTATTTATTTTAAACATTTCAATTTTAAATTCTATTAGATTAGAACACCTTAATTTTTTTTAAAAAGTAAAAAAAATTGTTTTTAATTTTTAGAAATTTGTTTACTTTTTAAATCCTTTTAAATTGGACTAGAAAAGTAAGAATAAATAAATAAATAAATAAATACAATTTAAAAAATAAAAAATAAAAAAAGTTTTTTTAATTGGTACCATAAGTGCTAGGCTAAGAATATCTTCAATAATTTATTAAATGGTGAAAATGAGATCCAATCCTTTTATCAAATCCATACCAAATCACATTTTCACCAAAAAAATATCATTAAATAAGGGATAAATTAAATTTTCATCCAACTTGTGAAGCCGACATGGTGCAACCAGTCTTGAGTGGAGACACCAGCATAGTTGGATCCAGTTGAACTCTTTTCCATAAAAGGCAAACAAATCGATTACACCTTTGAGAAAACTGTCATGAAAGAACAAAAATGACAATGAAAAAACAAAACAAAACACAACAAAAAATGACAATGACATCCAACAAAGTGCAATGTATCATTGAGCCAAAGACCAATCATGCCAGTTAAGCTAAAGGTTCAAGACCACCAAGGGGCTTCATAGTCCATTAAAATATATTTAACTTTTAATTGTACTTTAATAATTCAATTGTTTATTTGTAAGTCATTGTCAGCATATAATTTATTTAAAAATAAATATATGATTTGTAGTCATATTATTTCGTTAAATAGATTGTTCATAACTTTTAAACCAAATAATACAACAAAATAATGAAGATAAAATATGATTCGATAATTATATTTATTTGGTTAAATATAATTTGATTATTATATATATATACAAAATTAAGATAAATATAATAAAATAATATGATTATTAGAAGAATTTGATTTTTACTTTTATTTTTATAAATGATAGATTATAACGTGTGTTGCATTAAATGACAAATATAAAATAGTAAAAACTTTAAAAGATTGAAAAGAATTTTGACTCGTCGCTTAGTGAATTTTTTTTGGGAGGTCTTATTACTTTATGATTTAAAAAAAAAAAAATTTGTTCGAATTTAACTGTTTTTCACATCACGTTATTGTACGCATATCTACTAATATTTTGAGATTTGTTCACTATATTCTTTATTTTTCAAATTATGTAAAATTTTTAACTACATATAGGATAATTATTAAGACCATTTCCAATCAATGGCTAATTTTTTTTTTATCTAATTTAATTTTAAATTTGACTAAAAAACTTAATTTGATATGAAGTAACTTATCTTTCACTTGGATCCCTAGAAACACCGATGGTGTTGCTCACTGGCTAGCGAATGCTCATCTTTATTTAAGGGTGTTCTTCCTTAGATTGGGTTAGGAATCTTCCTACTGCTCTTTCAGAGTTGTTGAGTTTTGACTCTTCTGTGTAGCCTCATGGCATTTCCTTGTTAAAAAAAAAAAATGAACTAATTCAATCTTCTTATTAAATTTTTTATCAAAATCTTTTAAAAATTATCTTTTCATCCCAAATTTCAGTTTTTATCAAATTTGATAAAAAAAATTTTTTTTTTATCTCCAATGTTTTTTCTTTTTAAATTTTCATCAACAGTTTTTAATTTGATAAAAAAATGACTCTCTTAATTTGATGAAATGACTGGAGATGATTTTTAAATACTTTGATAATAAAAAGAAAAAAAAGATGAAAGATTAAAGATGCTCTAACAAAGAGAATTTCATCTGAATAAGGAACCGATCTGGGCCTGAGATAGATGAGAAATCAAGCCCAATTCCAAGGGCCCTATTGGAGTAAAAAGTCTGGGTCATAGATAGATCAGCGAGGGTCTTTTACGTTGTAAGTTGTAAATTAACCTTATTAACCTTCTATTTTGAAAATAAAAAAACAAAAAATTTCAGGGGTTTTTGTGTGTGTTTGGAGAGTGCGAAAAGAATTAGAATTGGAATTGGAATTGGAATTGAATTGTTTGGCGATGAAAATGGAAGAAATAGGAGATCAGAGGCAGAGAAGAGTAGCTTCGTCCAATTCGATTGGTCGTTGTTTGATATCATTTGTCTCTTCATCCCTAACGCACCTGTGCCTCTTCATGCTTCCTTCCTTCTTCCCTTCCTTCTCTCTCCTCTCTCTTCTCTCACTCTCAGGTCCTCTCTCTCTCTCTCTCTCTCCTCTATATATATATATAATATGAATATGTGGTTGAAGTGGTTGCTTTTGTTGCAGCTGTAGCACTGTTGGGAGTGACAGGCGTTGGGAGATGCTGCAAGAGGCTTGTAGGAGTGGGAGCATCAGCGCCGGCTTTCGTTTTCTTCAATATTATATTCATTTGGGGCGTTTATATTGGATTGGTTCGACAAGGTCCCTCTTTCTTCTCAATAATCTCTCTCTCTCTAGTCTCTAATTTGTTTCCTCAATATGATTCACTGTTTGATTATTCTACGAATTTTAAAATCTGGGTTCTGCATACAATGGGATTCTAATGGTGGGTATTTTCAACAGTCCAGATGGTTTATTTATTCATCATATACATGGTGTTTTCAAGGAATTTTTTGGGGGTAGATGCCACACGTGTACCTTCTGTTATTGTGATTGAATTTGACAATAGAGTCCATTAAATTTATGTTGGGTTATTGTGATTGAATTTGACAATAGAGTCCATTAAATTTATGTTGGGTGTTTGAGGAAAAATAGGGACATACATTCGTAGAAGGTACTGCCACGTGTACCCTATTTTTCTGTTTGTTTGTTCATTTCTCTGTAGAGGAGTGAGTAATTTGTTTTTTCCAACCAGATAATAAATTATGTGAGAATGCTCAAATTTTAGTTGGATAGGAATGGATTATTGGTTGTTCATCATCAATATGTATCTTCCTTTTCCAAATTGTGACTTGTATGGAATCCTGACATCCTTATAAAAATTGACTTTTTTTCAGTGATTTCACCTTTGCTAGACGTTATACTCAACGCAGAGTTCTTTATGCTCGTGATTGGTCTATGCAGGTCAGATTATTGTTTCTACACTCAAAAATTTATTGAATTGATTTGTTCGTACAAAATCTAGATTTAAGGTTTGAAAGAATGAAATTTCAATCATTTATTCATTGTCCTAACTATGCGTTTCTTGGTGCCAGCATCCTGACAACAGACCCTGGTTATGTTACAAATGAATCTTCCCATCATAACCAGCTTGTTGAGAGTCCTGTCTCAGTATTTGAAGCCCATTCTGAGGTTGCAAATGTTGAGAAGCCCTTCCAATTAGATATGATTAACACAGATATTGAAATTATCTACTGGTGCAGGAACTGGTGCCTTCAACTCGTGACATTCCCTATGAGTTCGTTGCTGAAGAAGTAAGCTGATGCCGGTGATTCCATCGGTTACAAAGTTAAATACCACTGAGTTTTGCGGTCACATTTAATTTATCCTGAATTTTAGTTTTCAAAATTGGCTTTGGTAGCCTTGCTAGTTAGGTTTCATGTTTTGCTTCTCAAATATTATCTTGATTTAATACATACTAGGTGGTCAGATGTGATTGCAAGAAACTATGAGTGTCAACTGAAACTTTAATTATCGGGTCTATATTTCATAACTTACAATGATCTTGGATTTCTGGTTTTTCATTTTTTGGAATCTGGATTCCGTAGTGAAAAGCCGAAGGCCTTGAATGTAACCTGGTGGTGTGCGTACTGAACACCGCACTTGATGATTGTGGATCGGAGCTCCACACTTGGTTGGACTGTCCAAGAATTGAGGCCCTGCAACAAGGAGCACCGTAAGAGCTACCCGGCCGGGGTTGGCCGGATAACCTCTCCGGTGTGGGAATGAGTAATCGGAGGAGGAAGATGCTCTCTAAGTGTAGAGAGTTATGTTTCAGTGAGTAGGGTTTAGCATAGATCAGTTACCTTCAATGTGAAGTCAGTGCAGTTTTTATATAACTCTTTGCTTGTTGCCCAAGACAGTTTCATAGAGCTTTGGTGCTGTTTCATTTCCTTTAGCATTCTTCCCAGGTAGTGGACTATCTGGTAGTTGTTAAGGGGTGCATATACTCATTGTAGTCATGCTGATAACAAACCATATTCTTTTGATTAACTGTTTCCGTGATTCTAGGTGTAGGGGACCAGCTGAGGTGGCAACTTGCACATGCATATACTCACAACTTCCACGTTTCTCTGGTGTGTTCCTTTGGCTCGGCGTTGTTGTGCCTCAGCTCGGCCCTCTATGGGATTACTTATAAAGATGGGCCGGCCTAGTATGATATCTTTGTGTGGGCTTGGCTTCTTTTCGGTTCTATCTAGGGGTCAGGTCCTGCTGCTCGGCACAGCCCAGCATTGTGGCCGGACTGACCTTTCCACCACAGGCTGGGCCCAAGTGCTTGAGGACTTGGGTGGATTGTTGACGATGTAATTGGGTTGATCTAACTGGCCCACTTGCTTATCCTGCTTCTCAGGTCTTGAGTCTAATGGATTGGGCCTGCCCAAGACTTGGATCCGACCCATTTCATATTTAGCCCATTTAGGTGGCAATATGTGTTGAACTATCTTTAATTCTGTTGCGTTTTATCATAGCAAATCATTATTGATTGAAAATATCTCAGCTTTCTATCCATGTTAAATTTTTGTTTAGCCACAAAATCTTAGCACTTCATTTAGTTCTTTATAATTGAAATCTTATGGGTATGTTTGGTTTGTGTTTGAGAGATGTGGTTTAGAGATAAAAAGTACGAAAAGTTGTTTGGTTTGGTTTTTTTCAAAAGATGTTTTGGAAAATTATTTTGAGAGAGAGTTTTGGAAAAAGTGATTGATTTGATGTGGGTGAGAGAGAGATTTGTTTGGAAAACTTGTTTGGTTTACAAGTTTTGAGAAATTTTTTTGGGAAAATTTGTTTGGTTTGATTACTTTTAAAAACTTATTTGTAGAGAAAATTTCCTAAATTTTTTTCAGAAATACAAACCAAACGAACCCTATGTATCCTGAAGTCTTCAGTATTTATGCTATCACAGAATTCTATTCCACTCCAGAGAGTTAGATATTGTAGGCACTGCGATGCATATGTAAAGGGGTTCGACCACCATTGTCCTGCTTTTGGAAACTGTATAGGTAATGACAACATGTGGGTTATAGTTCTTTACATTTTTAACTACTTCAGACAACAAAAACTGTTGTCTTTTTTGTTCTTATTAAACTAGTCTTGGATTTGGTAAAACAGTGGGTCTTGCTGCCTTTGTGGATGCTGACATTGATATTCTTTTAATGCAGGTAAAAAAAACCATGTCCTCTTTATAATCCTCCTTGTTGGGTTTGTTTTTACTGAGGCTTCGTATGTAGCGTGCTCATCTCAGTGTAAGCTTGAATATATTGGATACTGACCTGCAGTAGTTTCAACAATTTATTTTTTTGGTGAAATTAATTATGCTAATTTTATTCTTATCATGGATTTCAGTTGCTACCAAATTTCAGATCATGGATAACATTGGGGGTCTGGTACGTTTTCAAATCTGCTATTTTCATGATATTTTGCCCTTTTGTACTAACAGTCCATTAAGAAAAGAAAAGAAAGGATTAAGTAGGAGAGAAAAGAAACGATAGCGGTATCTTTCTTTCTTGTTTGGATAATTTAGGAGAGAAAAAGAAAAGAAGAGTGTCATCATTCTCTCTGTTTGGGAAAGATGGAGGTATAGGAAAGAAAAGAAATTTTTTTTATATAAAGGGTAAAGTGAAAACCACTTGTTATAAAAATCAAGGACAAAATTGATAATCACTAACTCTTATTCCCACTTTCCAAATCTCTCCACTTAAAAGTAAATTTGAAAAGTTTGTTTTTAAGGGATTATGGTTTCTCTCCATTTTTCTCCCCATTTCTCTCTGCTCTCAAACTATCCAAACAAGTGATTAGGGAGAAGAGAATCCCTTTTCTTTTCTTCTCTCTCCAAGTATTCCAAAACAAATGGTTTATTTCTGTAGGACAAAATCAAACTCTTCATACTCTATGACTTATCTTTTTGTTATATTTACATTTTATTTGTGCAGACTAGTTCGTCTAGAAATTTGGCAATTAGCACAATGCTATTCTCTCTTCTCCAAGTGCTCTGGCAGGTGTACATTGTTTCTTCTCCTATACAAGTTCTTCATATTTGAATATTGAATTGTTATCTAACAGGAACATGCTGGTGAATGTTTATAGGGGGTATTCCTGTCGTGGCATATTTATTGTGTTTGTTTCAACATCAAAACTGATGAATGGGTAATTTCTCAAATCTATTCTGTACACTGATGTAGTCATACTCTGAGCTTTAAGTTTTTCAATTCTCTAATTTCATGATTTTTTGAATGCTTGTAAATTAGAGTTGGAGCCCTCTGATCTTTGAATTCCCAAACCATTTTTTTTTGGTGGGGTTTCTTGAACTCCTTAAAGAAACATTTTAATCTATATGGAAGAAGCAAGGGGTGTTTATGTTACCAATTTAGTGCTATGGTGTATAGATTTGGCTTGTCAACAAAGATTATTACGGAAACTCCTTTCTGAGCCTTTTTAATATCAAATGATTTCTCTCCTTTGTAAAATATATTTACCCTTTACTTTGATGTGGAAAATAGTTACCCTCAAAATCTTTCTTGGCTACATGGATGGCCTCAGTACGGTGCTGAGAAGACCTCAAGTAGAATTTTTTGACTCTTGAAAGGACATAAAAAACTGTAGGTTAGACTAGTTAGATAATGTACAGCCAGCACCGTGGATGGCCCGAGTCAGAATAATGTCTAATTATGTGTGAAGAATAGGATAAGAGAAATCTGCAGTATTTGTGACTGTAGACACTATTTTTATGCAGATAAACTGGAAAAGGTATCCAGAGTTCCATCTGACTGTCCAGTCTGAACCCGGTATTTTTAGTTCATAGTTCTGGTGGCTCTGTATGTTTAACCATCTATACCCAAATTGATCTTTGAATTATTTTTTTTGTCCAGGGCAAACCTCAAGTGAAAGTGAAACAAGGTTTACAAATCCATATGACAAGGGAATTCTGTGGAATGTGAAGGAGTTTCTGACAGCAAAAGAATGATAAATGCATCTCGCTTGGAAAGCTATACACATGATTCTCTGTTGCCGCAAAAGATGGGTTACTTTATACGGCTGTGCATTGCTCGATGGTGATGCGGATTTATATGGAGCGATTACCGACAGTATTAACCTGATAATTTGGAGACAAAATGATGTTTGGAAAGGTGCAGTTGGAACATGTTTAAATTCCAACACGATCGATTGTTTGGAGATCTTGCAGTTTCAGCTGAGGATTTTCATTGCAAACAGAGAGGCAGTTCCAAGGTAATATATAATCCTGTTCATGGTGTTTGTATATAGATGCCTCATATGGTTTGCAAGTTGTTAGATTAGAATGAGAGGACAAATTTAGTGCTGTTGATCTAAAATAGTTTCTCTGCTTAGCAAAAACTAGATGATTGATTATCTAAGTATGTTGTCTTCAATTTTGCTGGTGTTATTTTGCTTATTATGATATCACTGGCCAAAATGAAATGTCATATAGTAAGAAGAAACTGAATTTACAGAACCAAAAAGATCAGAAGAGCAAGGAGAATAGGAAGAAAGAGTTTTTAGATCAAATACACAATTCATTCACAATCCAGCGACAAAGATCATACACACCCAAAGCACTGACATCTAAAAATGGCTCTTGCCATACTCATTAAGATGGACTGACCCTAAAATTACTAAATTTTTTTTTTCTCAATTATAATAGCAACCTAAATCAAGGGCTAAAGTATTCTTGAAGTTGACTGGATTCCTAGTCTTTCTTCACGTTGGCTTTATTGGGAGGAACACATCTGTGAGGACTGTAGTAGACTTAGAGAAAGCCTTCATAAGCAGCTTCAAACCCTAACCAAAAAACAATAGAATTCAAAAGATTTTAATCAATCAGAAATATTTGTAATGTTATACAAAATAAAATTGTTGTACAAAATTTCATACAGAATTATGTGATCGTTTGGTGGTCTTTTCATTTAAAGTCAAAAAACCCATAATTACAAAAATGTTACTACCATATCTTTTTGGTTAAGTTTTATGTACAAGAAGTACATTTTTTTAATTAGGGCAAACTTCACTTTACTCCCCTATAGTTTGGGTCATTTGCGGATTATCCCCCTGACGTTCGAATATCACCACATAATCCCCTTGTGGTTAATGGAGTGATGTGCGCAATTAACACCGTTAATGGCAGACATAAAAAGACCAATTTGCCCTTATATATATATATATATTTCTAACCTTACTTACCATTTTCACTGCCAACAGTTATGCATCTGAGAAGAGGAAAGTGGAGAGAACTAGGTTGTACGATTGAACAAAATCACAAAAATCAAAATCAAGTTCATTCTCTCTCTCTCTCTCTCTCTCTATATATATATATGGGGATCCATTTATGTTCTCTTATACATAGTGACTCATATATGTATAGACCTTCGTGATAAGAATCAATGGCTTCCGAGCTATTTTCTCTCTCGATATGGATCGATTTGTGTTGTGTTGTGTTGTGTTGTGTATACTGACTCTGATAGTTTCGTGATCGGAATCAATGGCGTCTGAGTAGGTGATGTCCGGTGGTGGACCTCGCTACGTTCAAATGCAGTCGGAGAGTCTTGGAAGCTAGAGGGAACCGGCAAATCTAAGAAGTTTGTTTGTTTGTTTTTTTTTTTTTTGGTGTGTTTGTGCTTAGATTAGCTTCCAATCACTTTTCTATACCTCTCCTTTGTTGATGCTTTTGGTGAGCACCATCATCAACAAGGATTATAGCTACAGATTATAATTTGGAGAGAAATCAAAGAAAATTATATATACATATATATAGTTACAGATTATATATATATAGCTACAGATTATATTCTTGTACCATATTCCCAACATATATATATAGCTACAGATTATATATATACATATATATACATTAATTTTTGATATAAATTATGTTGTTTAAATTAATTTAGGTTTTTGTTTTGAATTTTTGGGGGGTTTTGATTTTCAGAAATACTACAATTTTTATTCATTGTTCTTGGCCTTGAGTTGGAGGAAGATGTGAAATTGAGAGAGGGATAGATGAGGGTAGGTTTTGAAAATTGATGATGAAGATGGTGGCATTTTAGTCATTCAATTCGGAGGAAAAATCATATTTTCATGCCATTTGCATATCAGGCGTGTGTCATGCATGGCCTGTTAGAATAGATGGAAAAGCTAACTGTGCACATCACTCCATTAACCACATGAGGTTATGTGGTGATATTCGAATATCAGGGATAATCCGCACATGGCTCAAACTATAGGGGGTAAGGTGAAGTTTGCCCTTTTAATTATTTTTCATCACAAATTAACTTCATCAAATTTGGAACCTAGAAAAAAATTTCAATGTACCCAGCAAAATATCCAAAATTTGAATATATGGTGTAAATTTAAACTTAATATAATATGATACACACCTATGATGAATCTGATTCACACGTTTCAAATTCTAGATAATTTTTGTCGCGTGACATTGCTGAAACTTAAAACAAGTAGATGTTAACCATACCTCGTCCATGTCAACCGTCACTGTCTTCTCGTGGATGCAGGTAATGTCCTTGACCTTAAGATTTTTGAGAAGAGCAATATTAGAGGACATAGGTTTGACCATGAGATCATCCATCACCATGTAAGTCACCACCCCTTTAACATACCCTTGCACCATATTCACATGCACGTTGCTAGTAACTGAAGCACTGCTAAATGATGGAGCACTGCTAAATCCAAATGATGGAGTACTGCTAAATGATGGAGTACTACTAAATGATGGAGCACTGCTAAATCCAAATGATGAAGCACTGCTAAATCCAAATGATGAAGCACTGCTAAATGATGGAGAACTGCTAAATGATGGAGCACTGCTAAATCCAAATGATGGAAATGATGGAGTACTACTAAATGATGGAGCACTGCAAAATCCAAATGATGAAGCACTGCTAAATGATGGAGTACTACTAAATGATGGAGCACTGCTAAATCCAAATGATGAAGCACTGCTAAATGATGGAGAAATGCTAAATGATGGAGCACTGCCAAATAATGAAGAATGAATGACATTGGTCTGGTTTGGTGGGTCTGCCATTGCTAAAAATTGCCTCAACAGAGGGGTTTGGGCAGTGTTAGAAGCACCAATCTTGGGTCTCAAGAGGGCGTCCTTGGTCTGGTTTGGTTGTAGATAGTCATTGTCTAGGTTTTGGACACTCTGGTAGACTTTGCTCAACGACCCATATGTAGCAGCCGTGTCGTCGAGTTTGGTCAGAATTGCCAAGATGGTACCTAGAGGAAGCTGGAGGAGGCCAAAGAGGAGGTCGACAAAGTCCTTTCCGGCCTCGGCGAAGAGAACCTTGTTGGAGTTGGTGTCTATGAGGAGTTTCAAGCTTATTTTTGGATTTGTAGTTGTTGTAGCCATATCTAAGACTGTCGAAATGTGTTGGCAATAACTGAGGAAATTACTTTGTCTAACTGCTTTCTCCTTTTGTCTAATGTTGCTTCTGTGTAGTGGGCATTCTCTGGTTTTGTTTTAAAAGTTATTTTCTAATTTTTTAATTTTTTTTTTCATGTTCTAATTTTTTATTATTATACATATTCGTGTAATGTTGCTTTAAATAACTATGTAGCATTATTGTTTGTGATAAATGTATTTTATTTTATTTTATTTTTTTACTTATTTTCACAAAATAAACACTAGGGGTGTGTTTGGTTTGCTTTTGAGAGAGCGATTTTCAAAAAAAAAATTGGGGAGAGTTTAAAATTTTTTTAAGTTTGTTTGGTTGTATATTTTGAAAGTAATTTTAAAGTTTGGGAGTTTGGGATGATTTGATGTTTTATTGTAATTGATTATATGTGTGTAAGAGAAAAATTGATTGAAAATGAGAGAGAAGAGAGAAAAAGTGATTGATTGATGTGTAAGAAAGAAAATGATTTTGAAATTTTTTTTGAGAAAAATCACAAATCAAATAAAATCTCAATTTTTTTTTTTTAAAACAACTCTCTCAAAAGCAAATCAAACATGTCCTAGGTGTATAAGATTTATCATTTTTTTTTTTCAAAGAAGAAAATGACCTACCATATCATATAAGAAGTGAAATTTTTTGATAAAATATTTCAATAGTCTTTTTTTACCCTATTTCTTAAAAATTAAGTAATAAAATAATTTCAATTTCAATTTCATTTTTTTTTTGTGGGTGGGTTCAATTTCAAAAGGTGCCATCATAGAAACCAACCACCAGGAAAAGTCGTACTCTTTTCTCTCTCTCTCTCTCTCTCTCTCTCTCAATGTCAAAATGTGCTCCTTTTGCTTTAAGGAAGAAAATAATTTGTCTGGTTTCCATTAGCATACTTTTCCTATCTCATTTTGGAAAAATTATTCACGGTTTTCGGAGTATTATATATTTGTATTTTTTAATTAATTATCATTTAATATATTTTTTTTATATTTTTCAATCATCCAATACAATATCCCATCTACTTACCTTTTTCATCAATTACAATACTATAAAATACACGTATTTATATTATGAGAAGATTAAATAATTACCCCTCATTTTGTACAAATCTCTCTCTTCACAATTAAGTACAGGGAAATGACTCTTTAGATTTAGTACCGTGTCAAAAAAATAATTAGTTAATAATTAAGTATTTTTTAATTATCAATCAATTATTTTTTTAACATATTATTAGATCTAAAAAATGTATCTAAAATGTAAATTTATATATTTTTTTTCAAAAAGAAATTTAAAGTAAGCGCGAAAACAAGTCGAGGAAGTTACTCAAACTCACTTTTATAATTTAATGAGTTTAAAATTATATTTAACTTGTTTATCTTTACATATTTCTCTCTCAGGCAGAGTGCTCTTTTCGCTTTAGGGGTTGTTTGAGATGACCTAAATAAGTGTACTTTTTATCTTTTTACGAAAAGATGTGCAGAAAAGTAGAGAGGTAATGTGATGAAAAAAAGATAAAAAGATAAAAAGTGCATACTTATTTTGAATAGCCAAACTTGACCTTAAGAAAGAAAATAATTTGTCCTGTTTCCGTCTTTTCTGTCAGCATACTGCTTTTCCTATCTCATTTTGAACAAATCTCTCCCTTCACATTATTATTATTATTATTATTATTATTTATCTATTCTTTTTTACATGAAAAAATAAGGTGGGATCTACGAGAAAACCTCACCTAGGCAGACTAGGGAGGTCCCTCATGGCCCTCATAACACACACACACACCCAAACTTCCCGATGTGGGAAGCCCTCTTTCTTCACAATTAAGCAAAGAGAAATGAATGTTAGGCCTCATTTGAAAATTGACTTTTTTTAATAATTTTTAAATTTTTTTAATTAAAATATAATTTAAAAAAAATTAGTACATTTAGAATAATTTTTTAATTTTTTATAAAAAGATGCGTAAAAAATAGAGAGAAAATAGAATCTTTAACTTTTTGGTATAGGTTCGTTAGTTTTTTGATTTTTTATTGACTTTTTAACTTTTTGACTAAAATCACTACTTGCTAAATGAGACCTTATTATTCAGATCTAAAAATTAAATTTATTTTTTTAAGTTTGGTGATGTGTTAAAAAGATAATTAATTAATAATTAAATATTTTTTAATTATCAATTAATCATCTTCTTAACATATTACCAGGTCTAAAAAACGAGTCTAAAATGTAGATTTGTATATTATTTTTCAAAGAGGAATTTAGTTAAAAGTAAGCTCGAAAATGAATTGAGCAGATTGTTCAAACTCGATTTTATAATTTAATGAGTTTAAAACTATATTTAAGTTTGGCTTATTTATATAACGAGCGAATCTTGAATAAATTTTAATGAATTGAATTCGAATCAAGTTTAAATATTTTAATAATTTGTAGTACGTATAGATTTATTGATCTGAGTAGTAAGTTATTCAGGTTTGACTTAAAAACTAATGAGTTTAAAATTATATTCAAACTTGATTTGTTTACTTAACAAGTCGATCTCGAACAAATTTTTAACAAATTGAATACGGGTTGAACTCAAGTAATTTGGTGCACATGACAATTCTAGTTAAAAGTCACGTAGTAGTGTTTTGAGAAGTTAATAAAAAGTTAATTTTTTGACTTTTTTAATCTATTTTATCTTTTTGTGGATAAAAAATATGAAAGGTGATGTGATCCAAAATGGATAAAATGCTAAATGCTGATTTTTTTTTTACTTCCCAAAAGACCCCTCCTGTGTTTGGCAAGTGGGTTTGCAGGCTTTTTTTGGCTATTTTAGCCACAAAAAACAAAATAGGCTATTTTAGCCATAACAAACAAAACATCACATCCAACTCATAATCATTACATTCTTCTTTCACAAAAAAACTCAAAAAAGCCAAAAAGCCAAAAAGTCCTTCCCAAACCAAGCTTTTAAGCCCATGCTAAAATAGCCAAAAAAGCCAAAAAGCCAAAAAGCCAACCCACTTCCCAAACGGAGGCTCAATGTAATTTTGTAATAGAAAAAAAGACATCTTACCAATTTTTAACTCAAAAGGTTAACTTTCAAATTTAAATAGATAAAGGCAACATATCACATATTTATAGTTTTTTTAGATTAATTTGCCCTTACAATTTTCTCTCAAATACATACACACACACATATATATATATGATTATGTTCATAGATTTGGTCCAATACATATTGATGCTCGATAGATTTGGTCCAAACATTTGTTTAATATCTATCTCGACATTCTCTCTCGAAGAGTAGTCGACACATATTCATTGTATTTACTTTTGCATTTTCTAAAAATGGGTTTCAACTCTTTTCGGCATTACTAACGGGATTTCTTGGCCAAATTCATGCATGATCTATCCATTTAATTCTTAACATGTGCGCACGTGTATATGCTATTAAAAATAAAATAAAAGTGGGTCTTCACTTTTTCTCTCTCTAGACTAAATTGACATAAAGAAGGCCATGAGTTATTATCACAAGGAATTTAGCATTTTTTACTTCATAATTTGTGAGAATATGAAGCAATCTATACTGTCTCTTTTCATAATTTTACTTCATAATTTTTTACTTTTTCCCAAGACAATCTATATGGCTCATGTTGCCCAAATAATTTTTGGAGTGTTACATAAAAGAGGTTTGAAAGCTCCATCATCGACCTCATAGATAGATAGTTCGTGTAGACGTTCCTGAACGCCCCCGAGAGGAACGAGTCCCCCGTTCTGTTCATTTGGGGTTCACTACAGTTCGAAAAAAAAAAAAAAAAAAAAACCCTCAGGCACCATATTTATACAAATTTTAGACTCCTTATATAATTAACAAAAATGGTAACTCTAATCAGGCTCATAAATATTGACAAACACCTGACATTTGAAATTTTATATTTTTGATATTCATCAATATATAATTATATTGCCGATAGATCTTGTGGATCTGGCATAGCGGCAAAATTATCCCTTAGTGACCCAGTGATCAGGGGTTCGGATTGCGAAAATAATATTTCCGCTTAGATACAATCAGCAATTTGATACCTTTATTTAAAATGACACCCAAAATTTGTAATAAACAACTTAACGTAAAACATAGCAAATTTTGAATTTTTGCCGGTGATATTTGCTGAACTGTAGATTGATACTATTTGATTCCTAAAATTTGAACTATAGATTGATACTATTTAATATTGACTGATATGTAAAATGGTTCCTAAAATTTGTAATAAACAAGACGAAAGTAAAAACTTTTTATTTATTCAAAACAAAGTAAACAAAGTTGGCATCATTTCAAACTTTCGGTCCACTACAACATTTTCTTAGTTTAGTGACATTTGAAAGTGCCACAAAACTATTCTTCTAATGGCATTTTTTGGTTTTGTGGCATTTTGAACAAGTGCCACTTCTATCGGTGCCACGGTAGATACGAGTGCCACGGTAGATACTTGCAAGTGCCACTGCACCATCATGGCTAAAAACTTTCAATGACATTTTAATGTCATGGTAGATATTATTTGTGGCACTATCAAGTGCCATTAAAAAAAGCGTTAGTGACACTTATAAGTGTCATTACACCATCAAGACTAAAACCTTTCAGTGACACTTTAATGTCATGGTAGGCACTATTCGTGACGCTATCAAGTGCCATTCGTGACAATAATTCGTTGTAGAACAATTTGATCCGCTCTTACAGAGACTCGAACCGCCAACCTCCCGCACCATAAACCTTATACACCACACTCTTCCCACTACACCTCTATAGCACCATATGATTATATATGCAACATATATTATTTATATAGCACATACATCTATATTAATATAAAAGTATATGTATAAACATAATTATTTTATTGAACATAATTTATGTAAAATAAACTATTTACTAGTAAAATAAAAAAAGATCATTTTTGGCGACTAAAAATATTTTTTAGTCGCCAATTTTATACTTTTGGCTACTAATTATTTTTTAGTTGCTAAAAAACTTAACTTTTGCCAACCAAAATCGGATTTGGTCAACGAAGATGCACTTTCAGCTACCAAAATTTTGGTCGCCAAAAAATTTAATTCCCGCCTTAGGATTTTAGTTCTTCCCGCGCTAAAAATAATCACTTTTGGCGACTAAACTTATTTTTTAGTCGCCAATTGTAGGCTTTTGG